GTTGTTTAAATTGTTCTTCTATGCTTAATGGGTTTCTAATGCTTAATTTTAGGTTAGACAACAAATGATCAAATTAGGGAATTAGGAACACAAGGTTATGACCACACACCATGGCTTAATCATACTTTAGCTAGAATCAATCCATTAATCTAAATTGAACTTGGGAACTTATTTGCTTGAGTTACTTATTTCTTTCTTCCTTGTTTTATGTTCTTTGTTTTTTTGTTTCTATTTTGTGTAGGGAAACTAAATTGGATCATTCAATCACCAATCCCTGTGGAATCGACCTCGCACTTACATATGCTATACTACCAACGGTTCGTGCACTTGCGAGTATCACAAGTTGAGGATGCAGCTTAATCCATTTTGGTGGAGCTAAATCTACGCAACAGCTACACACAATATAGGGACCTTACCAACTGAACCAATCCTCATTGGTTTCAACTGATGATTTAGATTTACTGTAAAATTATTATTTTATTTTATTTTAATCTTCATTTTTCATGTGTTTATGTTGCCTTTGCGATGGGGAAGGGATTAGAAGCCTCATAGAATACAAGTGTTGACCTCAAGTTGATCACGTCACATGGTACAAGTTTTAAACGGAAAACATCTGGTCTTCTTTAATTAGGAGATGGCATCATGGCAGTAAGGACGACTCACTATTAACTTAGTAATAATGGATGTCGTTTTGGATGACTTACAATACCTAAAAAAAATAAAGAATTTGATTGTTTAACTCGGGTTAGGTGAAAATGATTAGAAGTCGAGTCTTTAACGAATTGAAAGGACAAAAATGGTTGGTATATTTTGTTCCAGGTAATGTGGGTTGTTACACGCATATTAGACGTGGACTTTGACAAATTTAAAGAATCAATTAGCGCGGCTGCCACACAAGGCATCACGTTGGACAGGTTTGGAGTCGTTGGGTTGGGCACGCACGTGCCCTTTCTTTGAATGAATGGAAACGCTTCAACTTGACTCAAAATTGGAAAGATATTATATATTATATCATAAGGTCCTATTTTTGGAGTGGGCTAAAGAAACATGTAGGCCTAACTGCAAATTAATTCTTTATTTGCTTTATGTTGTTAGCACCAGTTGTTTTTTGTATAATCAACGATAGGAATTCATTCATTAGAGGACAAATATAAGTATTAAAAAGCCCAGTTATGCGCTAAGGGATTAGAATTTAGGTGACTCCTCTACACCTAAGGATTGGATCTTCAAACTAACCAAGTAGTCTACATTCTCAATCGCAAGCAGAGGAGGAACCTTGCTCTTAATAAAGTGCCCTCCCAAATCCCCTAAACCCTAAACCCGTAAAAAATAAACCCCAATGTTAAAAATTATTAAGGGTAAATTTCAATTTACTACGGTAAAATTTACCAACTTTTAGAATTCGATACAGCAAGTTTTTTTGGTCTCAGTCACATATACGACGTTAATTTTCTTATCACTTTATATCTACCGTTAGTCTTTCCGTTAACAAATCTATTAACTGCTGATGTGGTGTCACGTGATCTACATATATTATTAAATAATAAATAAATAAGAAAAACTTATTAAACGAATACATTAATTTAAATAAAACTTAAATTTAAAATAAATAAAAACAAAACCATCTCGTCGCCTCCTCCCATCCACCGTCTCCCACATCCCAATGAACCATCTCGCCCCATCACCCCACCACCCTGCGCCTTCCAACCATCACCACCCCACCCCACCACGACACCTACCCGACTAATTTCATAATTTGAGAGACCCGGTGAAACCCTAGGTCTCAGTCACAATTGTGAGCTTCAATCGTAGAAAGTCAAAACCCACAAACAGAGAAAGGGGGAAGAGAGATATAGAGGGTGGATGATGAGTTGGGGTTCATGACTGTCGAATAGAGAGAGGGGAAGAGAGAGAATGAGGAAGGTGTTGTATCAACCACTCGATTCGAGTTGGGTCGAGTCTTCTTCTGGTCGTACATGTACTACCTCTCTAGATTCTCCCACATGCTCCGCACATTCTTCACGATCTAGTGGCGGATCCAGGATTCAAAAGTCAGGTAGGCGAAACTTACCTTAAAAACTCGACGGTACGAGTGATCCAAATCATTGTTTCCCTTTTTTTTTTAAAGTTTGAGTGGGCTATAACACATGTGGGTAGTTTTACACGGGCTGGGTAAGCAAAGGTTTACACTATCACATGTGATGGCTAGAAATAACCTTGTTTATATATAGGTTTTTTTTTAAGTGAAAAAATGTGGGGTAGGCAGCTGCCTACCCTGCCCTGGCTGTAGAACCGCCACTGCTTCTCCTACGTAAAAAGCCAAATATCTTTTCATCCAAACTTTGTGTGTAGAATTACAAGAGCTTCTTGTGATCACTGGTTCCTCAACGCCTAATGCCTTCCAATACCCATTGCTTGTAACCCGATTCTGCGTCCTCCTGCTGTAAAAGTACCACTTATTTCCCTCACCTAGAGCCTTACCTATACATTTTTATATGCACACAGTGCACAGATCAAGATACTTATATACGCGAAAACATGCTCTCTAATTTGGCAAGACAAGATTTAGGCTGTCAGAGTTGTAAAATACAAAACAACTAATTTGAATGATGGCTGATGTGATTATTTGACATATTGTATAACTCTGTATTCTATCTCAAAATGTTAAAAAATATTAATATTTTATTAATATTTTCAATGGGTTTAAAAAACAATAAAAGTTGGTGGGGGCTAGACGAATAAAAAAACTCTGATGACACCAATTAAAGACAACAAACAGTGGGCAAGGAGCTTTGATAGTGTGGGTTAGAGTGTATGATACTTTTGGTTGGGGTGAGGCGAGAGAGGGGTGTGTTAATGCGGGAGAGGGATGTGAAGATATTATTATTAGTTGTTTATTTATTATTAGTTGTTTATTTTGAGTTGTTTGAATTATCCCTAAGTTATAGGAAGTAGTTGGGTTTATCTTTGCCTGTTTCTCTAGCCAGTATCCCATGAGATTAGGACTTGTTATTCGTGGGATAGTACTTCAGCTTTTTCTGTTGGTTTCAGTTCATGTAATGGCTATATAGCCTAGTTCTTTTATCTTGAATTAATAGAGTGAGAAATCATTATTCTTCTCAATCATATTCTCAAGCAAAACTTAGTTTAATACCAACAATTGGTATCAGAGCCCCAACTGGGGTAGAGAGAGCATAAGGAAGCTTGCAACAGCAAGAATTAATGGCAGGAGAAGGAAGTAGCTTCGTGCAACCAGCAATTCCACGCTTCGATGGTCATTATGATCACTGGAGCATGTTGATGGAAAACTTCTTGAGGTCCAAAGAATATTGGGGCCTAGTAGAGAATGGAATCAAGCAGTATGCAAAGGGTGCAGAGTTGACAGAAGCTCAATTGAAAGCCTTAGAGGATCAGAAGCTCAAAGATTTGAAGACCAAGAACTATCTCTTTCAGGCCATTGATAGAGCTATATTAGAGACCATCTTGAAGAAAGATACATCGAAGGATATATGGGATTCAATGAAGAAGAAATATCAAGGAACGGCGAAAGTCAAGCCAGCTCAACTTCAAGCTCTTCGCAAAGAGTTTGAGATGCTCAATATGAAGGTTGGAAAGTCAATTGATGAGAATTTTGGAAGGACTCTAACCGTGGCTAACAAGAGGAGGATCAATGGAGAGACGCTGGAAGATGTAGCTATTATCGAAAAGATTCTGAGATCAATGACACCAAAGTTTGACTATGTGGTGTGTTCGATTGAAGAATCAAAAGATCTTGATCATCTCTCTATTGATGAACTACAAAGCAGTCTTTTGGTACATGAACAACGGATGAATGGCCATGCAATGGAAGAACAAGCATTGAAGGTGAGCCAAGAGAATTACTTGATCGGTTCATAATTGTATATTATTTCGTACCCTTCTAGCTTATGATTTGGTTATGTTTTTGAGTTAAACTTGTGCTTTTAATCCATTTTCTGTTTTGATAAGTCCATAATTTCATACACCTGCTTGCCTTCTTTACTTAGTGATTTTGCTTAGTTTCTCTTTATTTTGAGTCACTTGCCTCTGTTTGTGTGTTTTGTAGGT